GTGTCATTCTTAGTCATCCTTCTCTCTCATCATATTTTTTGTGTAAAGTGTTGCCAGTAGCAACTTATAACTCTTCTCTCATGTTTTTTTTTTCCCCCCAGATAACAAGTCTGACTAGTTCCCAGCAGGATGTCAGCTTACAACTGCTCTTTTGATCTTATTAATGAAAAAGGAGAGTGGCTTTGTCCTCCCGGAGGAAAGTGTGACAATGTGACCTCAGGCATGAACGGCAGCCACATTGAACTGGATGATGCTTGTCTGACAGAGGAAGTGTACCTGGAGAAGTATCTGGGTCCTCGTCGATCATCTGTGTTCCTCCCCGTCTGCCTCGTCTATCTGGCCATCTTCTTGGTCGGCGTCGTGGGGAACGTGCTGACGTGCACCGTCATCGCGCGCAACAAGGTCATGTGGACGCCGACAAACTACTACTTGTTCAGCTTGGCGGTGTCGGACCTGCTGGTGCTATTGCTCGGCATGCCGTTGGAGCTGTACGAGCTGTGGCAAAACTACCCGTTTCTCCTGGGGAAGGGAGGCTGCTACTTCAAAACCTTCTTGTTCGAGACCGTCTGCTTGGCGTCCATCCTCAACGTGACGGCGCTCAGCGTCGAACGCTACATTGCCGTAGTGCACCCGCTTCGAGCAAAGTACGTTGTGACGCGCACCCACGCCAAGCGGGTCATCCTCACGGTGTGGGGTGTGTCGGTGCTGTGTGCTGTGCCCAACACCAGTCTGCATGGGATCTACATCCTTCACAGTCACTCCACTGGCCCTGCTGGAGACGTACACGTTGAGATTCCCAACTCGGCCATCTGCACGCTGGTGAAGCCGCGCTGGATGTACAACCTGACCATACAGGTGACCACCTTGCTCTTTTTCATTCTGCCCATGCTCACAATCACCGTCCTCTACCTGCTCATCGGCCTTCAGCTGAAGCGAGAAAAGCTGCGCCAGGCACTGGAGGCGAAGTCGGACTTTGGAAAGGACAGCTTCTGTAACATCCGGACGCAGCAGCAGAAGGCACGTCGCCGGCAGGTCACCAAAATGTTGTGTAAGTACAAGGATCTGTTGAAGCCATGACTTTTTCAATTTTCGTAACAGTTTATCATTCAATCTCATCTGGAGCTGTGTATTCTGATTCAATCTCAATGGATCCTTAGAGGGTTAGGGCCTGAGTTTGTAGAGATCAGGTGAGAAACTTTAATTGTAATACAAGGGAAGCTGCTCCTGTACAGTACTCCTTGTGTTTTGCCACTGGTTAAATTTATGGCTGTAGAAGACAGTCAGCTGAGAACTTACATGTTGAGAACGTCCTCTGACCGAGCCGGCTGCCTCCTCACATAAAGGCACAAAAAGCATATTGCCAAATGCCATTTATTCCCCAACTACTGTGTATGGAGCACTAATTCTTTATGGGCCAGTGTGTGTCATATTGCACTTAATGGCAAAAGCATTTCACAGCATGGAACTGTTTCTTGGAATTTGCTTCTTGACAACAAAGGAAAAGCAGCCTCACCACTTTGGCAGAGTGATCAGCTCTATTTATTTTAAGAGAAGAAGCGTCTACACAGAAACCATTTTAATACAAGTACTGTTTGTGTATTGCACTCCAAACAGTTCAGCTCTACGATTCATTACTGGGGCGAAATGCATCTTTTGTTTGTCTCGCAAAGCCAGACCTGCAGATCAGCACTGCAGATTAGACCTGTTATCAGTCTGCTTTAGAGGAAAAACACTTTCAATGTTTGTATTTGTTTCACACAACCACAGTCCTCCTGGTGGGAGCTAAGCCCAGGATGCAGCAATGGTGCCCCTGCAAAATGATGTCAGGAGGAACTTGTTTTGGTGGAGCATTTGCTTTGGCGAGCACTGTCATTCGTGTAGCTAATTCACATAAGGAAGATCCAAAATGTTTGGTAGAAGTAGATTTTAAAAATGGTAACATGCATAAAGTGGTAAAGGAGGAGAAGACGGCATGAATGTGCTCTAAGTCTGCATCTTGTGAGTAGTTTGGTGTTGAGACAGATAAGAGCACTGAGGCTGCTGTTGCTGCTCTGCTAACATATTACATATAACATATATTGCTCATGCTACGCTTCCCTCAAGAAACAGAGAGCAAAGAGATGTTTAACCCCAGTCAGGACTTTCATGTTGCCATGCATAGAAGGTCTTTTGGGGTCCATTGGACCCCAAGAAAGAATATGTGCAAAATATTTGTTGGTATTCATGACAGACTTTTATACTGTGTTAAATACATTTTCTGATAAGTTGATGTATTTTTGATTCCAAATGCATGACAAATGTCCCTCTTTTTATTTATATATATTTTTTTTAATTGTCAAACACAAACAAAAAAACAACAATACCTGTCACCTAAACCAAATGGCCCGGGGTCCAAGAGACCCCAAAAGTCCTGAATAGGGATAAACAACAACCTAATGTATCACTAGAGGAAAAGTTAATGGTGAACAATTTTGATGCTTAACTAAAATTTAAGTCCATTAATAAAACGTACATGTTAAATACTCTCTGATTACAGCTTCTTTAAATGCAAGATTTTGTCACTTTTCTGTTTTATATCCTTGAATAATGATCAGCATATGTATATATATATATATTTGCATAATTTGAAAACATCACGTTAGGTTCTGGGGACTTGTAATAGGTCTCTTGGTTTTCTAATTTCATTTTACAGATAAATTGTTATACTAAATAATTAAGGAATAAAGGAGTAGGAAATCTAAATCAGACAGCAGTTAAACCAACCGTACAAATAATATTGCACATTTTCCTCTATAGGCAACATGTTATAGGGTTTGCCACCATCTGCCATATAAGCCTAACAAAAGCTCACGTGTGCTCCAGAGGTGAAGGTGAAAGCAAATGCAGAGGTGAACGTCTTTCATAGTACCTAAGCATGAAGTCGGTTCCGGCATTATTCTCAAGCTTATCTTGATGGAAAAGCTTTGGCTTTGATTTACATGGTCTCACATGACTGGTTACAAGGGCAAAGATGTTGCGATTCTGTTGAAGTGCCCTCCTGAATGTCTTACGTGTAAATGGTAAACAACCCAAAGGAGAAAATAATAAATAGCCTTGCAAGACTGATTCATACATCCCTTTATATACTGTCCCTTCTGTATAGAACACTGCTTCAGCACCACTGTTCAGTTGAACGCTCTCAGGTGTGTCTCCAAACTTCTCCTGAAAGACATTCGCTATGAGACGTTGGTTAGTATCATCATGATTATTATTTTAGGTTATATTACATCAAGAAATGTCAAGATTCAGAGGCAGGTTTTCTACATTTAAAAGGCCACAGTATACCTGGAGGATTTTCAGCAATACAGAGGCCAGAAACCTAAAGGTCAGACAAGCGTAGAGACAAGTATTATCCTATCAGCAAGGAAAAGTCAATGACTACTTTTGATGATTGCACTGGGAACATCTTTAGCTGTTGATGATCAACAGGGACTGTGTGTCAGCCCCTGTGGAAAAATCATGAATTTGAATGCTCACAATGCTTGCTCTCACTAACAATGTTCTGGACATTGGAAGCTAAATACAAGAAGTCTGTGAACTACTGGGGCATGTAGTAGTAAATAAAATATAACCTTAAAAATAATAAGCACAAACCAATAGAAATAACTGGTGCTAAGGTGTTAAGCAGAAATTAAAATGGCAAAATTTTACCCCAAAGTCAGGAAGTTTCCATGTAGAGTTCAATTTCTACCAACTTTGACAAGCGAATTAGTGCAACTGACCGTTAGCAAGCTGTGGTGACAGTAGTGACCTTTGAAGAGACCCTCCAAAACAGAGAGGAACCCATAACTGTGTTGTAGCGTTCACTTTTACTCAACCGTCTCTGTCAAAGTAACAGTTCCATAAATAGGAATGGGACAGGAGTGGGTGGTACAAATGTACACAGATCAGTCACAACGGTCCAACCACTGATGGGTGAAGTGTGTGACATTAATCATTGGGTTATAATGCACTGTTTTGCTGGGAAACCTCAGGTCCTGGTATTTATGTGGCTGTCACTTTGACGTATAGCCAATCTAAACATTGTTCCAGACCAAGCACCCACCCAATGGAAACGGTAGTCCTCAAGGCACCTGCTACACCATAAAACTGCTCAGGTATGGCAAGAGGAACACAACAAGGAGCCTGAGACCTCCAAACTCTCTGGCTCCCATTCCAATCGAGCGTGCGAAGGATTCGCCAGAACAAGCCACAATCCAGGGATGACCCACCTCGCAAGGAGGCACTGTCAACATCCTGGTGCCAGACACCACCGCATAGAAAATATTAGGCAGGTGTTATTTTTTGTATGAGATGAGAATATTTAATCCGGCTTTTGTGGTAAAGAGGGAGCTGAGTTGGAAGGTGAAGTTCTCGATTTACCAGACCATCTATGTTCCAACTCTCATCTATGGACATGACTTCTGGGTAGCGACCAACAGAATGAGGTTGAGGATACAAGTGGTCAAAATGAGTGTCCTCTGTAGGGTGGAAGCCTAGCATGAGATAAGGTGAGGAGCTCGGAGTCACTGCTCCTTTTGTGTGGAAAGAAGCCAACTGAGATAGTTCGGGCATCTGATTAGGATGCCTGTTGAGACTCCAAAGTGGACCCAGAACTCCTACAGGGATTACGTTACTCATTTGGCCTTGGAACACGATGGGATCTCCCAAGAGGAACTGGAAAGTGTTACTGAGGAGAAGGATGCTGGAATGACGTGCTTAATTCGCTGCCTCTGGAACAAATTTGGATGGTTTTATTGTTGTGGCTAATCGGTGTAACTTTTGAACTAACAGCTGTTCATTGATTAAATAAATAGGGAAGGTAAACAGATCCCTGAGTATATTGAGCAAATTTTATGTGTAAAAGTCATGTTATAATATTAACTAAGGATGTAAAGATTCACTGATACAAACCGGAAGTCGATTTGAACTTTAACGATATGAATACATCGATCGGCGGGCCTCTGGATCGATCTGTATCTACTGTGGAGCGTCGATGTACGGTTGTAGAGTTATGAATCGGTTGATTGAAGCTCTGCTTCTAAATATGGCCGCTCCAGTCTCACAAGATTCCTGCTGTGACGTATTACGAGAGTAACATTCGCTGAACGTGTTTGCTAGCAACAACAACAGCATGGCCGACAGCACCGACGTTCCAGTTTACTTGGTGATGTTTGCTGTATTCACGCTCCAGATGTTCTGTTCGCAGATTCGTCCTGACCAGACCTGCGTGTTTGTCAAGATACTACATGAAGAAGAATAAAAATGCAAACATTGCTCGTTAATGAAGTCTAAATCCAAGTCAATATCATCTACAGACAGCAAAACGTGCTGACTGCAACAAAAAACACGTATTTTTCAAGTTCAGTGAGAGGATTTGAAACCATGTAGTCCAGCAGTAAAAATACGAGTTCGGGGTTCTACGCATTCTGCCACTGATCAACTCGACTAGGATCCCGTCTCACATATTTCTGGTTTAGGTCTAATGGTTGCAAGTTTTAAATGTGTCCAACACCTGAAGTATTGCCACACAGTTGTAAGGAAACACACATTTCTGTCTGCTTACTGCTACTTTATTTGACATTTTAATCCACAGCTGTAGCCAGGTCAATTCATAGATATATATATATATTTTTGAACATAACTGAAATCTGTTGCAAAATGACACGAAACTTGCAGCAACATACTAAGCTGTTGGAAATTCAGTACATTTTGTCCACGTTAATCCATTCAAGAGCTCTGCGAGACAGAAATAATGTTTCACTCAAGCAGAATGCACAATTAGTTTTTAAATCATAGTTGGAGAGGTGACAATCTCCTCCTTCTGTGTTGGGCATCTGGTGATGTTTTCATGTCATAATGGCTGTTTAATCCTACTGCTAAGCTCCTTCATGAGGACCACTCCCTCATAAAAAGCTTGTCCTCAGAGAAAAGGCTGAGGACGACCACTGTGACCTGCGCCGCTGGTACAAGAAAACATTTTAAAATCAGCCTTTTCCAGTCATGAATCCATTTAATCCTTGTGTACAGAGCTAAATCAAAAGCTAAATGTCCAGGACAAATATTGACATGCTGCATCAGTGGCACACAGTCCCCAGAGGAGCAATTTAATTGAGAGCAGAGGGAACATTAATCACTTCAGTCTATTAAAGCTCCTCTCCACATGTCTCTCATCATGCTTCCTCTCTGTCACTGTTTTTCAGTTGTTCTAGTCGTGGTTTTTGGAATCTGCTGGGCGCCGTTTCACACCGACCGCCTCATGTGGAGTTTCATCAGCGACTGGACCGACAATCACCTGGAAATCTTCGAGTACGTGCACATCATCTCCGGGGTGTTTTTCTATCTCAGCTCAGCGGTGAACCCGATCCTGTACAACCTCATGTCCACGCGCTTTCGAGAAATGTTCAAGGAAGTGATGTGCCACCGGCCGCATCACATCACTCCCAGAAAACACTCGCTCAGTGTCACCCGGGTGACACTTCGCAGCACCCTGAGTGATGCGCCGCTCAGCAACGGAGCGGCTGTTGTCGAAGCCGAGGTAGAAGATGGAGAGGTGAGGGTGAAAGATGAGACCAGTTTTACATGTTAACAGGAAAAAGAAAATACCTAAAGGGTATGTCAAGGTGGACATATTGTTGGCAAGATGGCTCTGTGTTTAGAAATGCTGGCCCATTCTGAGTCAGTGCAACCATCAGCTGTCATCAACATCCACTTGGCACAGGTGCATCAGCAAAACACACCGTAAGTGGAGGAGTTGCAGAAAAAAGGCAGAAAAAACTCTTCTGCTGAGGCTGTCAGACTGCAGTCTATTCTGCTTTTGAAAACTTAACCCACAACTCAGCAAATCACACTCTGAAAATGAACCTTTTTAAACATCCCGGAACTAAATGAGCTACAATATGATCCGTGAATGTACACTACAATGTCAGTTTCCCAGAGTGACCGACAGCCAGTGCCAGACTGTTTTATTCTATTATTTGGAAGCGTTTTATTCAATATGGGAAAATTCTGTATGTTTAAATGATACAGTTTACAAAAATCCTTCTCGTCATAAGTTGAAACCATAGATCTATACAATAAAGGCTAGATGTCTTAAGGCGGCGTTTCGAACGGGATCACCCTTCAGCCATCTTGATTCGGGGCAGCTCTCTGGCAGAACCTGTGGCACGTGAAGGAGTGATCTGCACAAATGTAAATACTCTTATCTCGCTGAAATCTTGACGGATTTACAAACGGTTTGGTTTCTTACAAACGTTATTAACGTAACTACAATTCATATTCAAAATAATTAAAATGCTAATTGTTGCTGGCTGTGAGAGTGTAACATAATTATCCATAAGTGCAGTGTTATAACTACACCTCTGACGTTTATAACAAACCAAACTGTTTGAAAATCGATAGAAAATTGAGCAAGTTATGGTTATTTAAAAAGTAAATGCACCACTACAACACAATGTTTGGGTGAGCAAGTGGACCGCACCAAGATGGCCGCCAGTGTGGCCGTGCCATTCCATTGGCCGGCAGCACGGACGAGTCATCTAGACTTTATTATGCATATCTGTGGTTGAAACTATCTGGAGCAGTAAATGCAAAATCTGTTGTAAGAAAGAAAGAAGTTAAAAACGTGGTTTGTTGTGCAGAGTAGGAGTATGTGGAACACAATGACAAGGCCTTAGCGAAACACTTTGTGTGAGTAATAGTAGCAGCATAATGAAAATAACTGTGTACATACATATCAGAAAAATCACCAATGTGTAAAAAAAACACAACAAAAAAAAAAATAACTCCCATGTAGAACATTGCTGATAATGGATGACGTAAAAGTGACTGTTTTGTATTTTAATCGTGACCCTTTGTTTAAGAGGAAAGCTACACTATTTGTAGAGTATTTTCTAAATCATATTATTAGTTGTTTCTTTAATCAGTGTTCAAAAATGTGTACATGAACCACTTACACTGGTGTTAATGAAGTAATTTCTTCTCGATGGCTTAAAGTTTTTGTTATAGTTTGAAAGTGTTTTGTACTTGGTGTTGTCATGCAAAGCTGTGAAAATGTGACCAGTTTAAATGAACAACCTTAGAGTGGATTTTTATTATGATTATGATTATTATTATCATTATTATTATTATTATTGCTTGAGCTGCCACTGTTTGAGCACAAATCATGTCTGATGTCTGCATTGATATTTGTATGCTGCTGGAAATGTTGCTGTCAAATGCTTTTCAGTCATCAACACTTTCAAGAGAAACAGCCAAAACAGCTTTTTTAAAAAAAATTTTCAACAAGTGTGTCCTGTAACCCAGTATTGTTTAAATCAATTATGATTGACATTATTTACCAAAAGTATAGCATTCACAAACATGCCGTGGTACGGAAGCCGAGAGCGGTCATGGCCGCACATTATTTTAAACGGCATTTTCTCGAGATAACGACATAATTATCTCGTTATCTCGAGAAAACGGTGTTCGTTTTCCCAAGATAGTGAGATAATTATCCTGTTGACAGTTTGGGCTGTCACTTCAGCCTTCATCAGAAGTTGTCGGACTTCCTGGTGTGACGTATCTTATACAGACAGCTGACCGGGAACTCCGACATGACGTGTCATGAGAACAGCTGACCGGGCACGACAACTTACAATGAAGCGCTCGTGCCCGGTCTCGTCTGTCCTCCGGCCCCCCGCTGGTGACTGAGGATGGAATCCTGGACGGGGCACGAGCGGGCAAACACAAACGGCAATTATCTTGTTTTCACGAGAAAACAATTCTTGTTATCCGGAAAACGGAGAAGAAAAAACAGTAGCGGAAAACGACAGCTCTCGGTTTCCGTACCGTGGAGCTTCATGTCAACAGAACAAAATACTGAAGTGCTTGGAAGGGAAGAAACCTCTTTAGTTATACAAAGCAAGGAATTTCGGAGAGCTGGTATTACCAAGTGTAGAGTTGTGGGGAATATTATTTAAAATAACAGAAGTGGGGGAAAACCTGGAATCATGGAAATGGATGCAGATGGAAAACAAACCTGCTGCGCCCTTGAGGCCATTCAAGGTATTGTTACAGAAAAGTTACATCAGGCTTTAACAACAGTCCAACCTCGCAGCATTTCAGAAAGATGTGGATAAAAGCCTGCGAGCTGTTGTGTACTACATTTGTCGGTATAGGCAAGAGCTGAAACAGGTTTTGTCTTAGAGAGCAAGAGGGCAAGAGGTAGTTTCCGGACTATAAGCCGCTACTTTTTTCACACACTTTAAACAATGATGCGGCTAATTTAAGGATTTTTACAAGTTTAACAAATTTGCTTCGAGACCAAAGTGACACTGAGAGCGACAACGAAAGAGAGACTGAGGAAGTGTGTGAGGAAGTGATTCTGAGGCTGTTCAACTCCGACACTGAAGAAGACGACTTTAGTGGTTTTAGATGAAGATAGCGATCAATGACTTTTCCTGGTAGGCTGCTGTAGTTTTTATTTTCTTAAGCAGCCGTGTTACAGGCACTGTTCAGAAAAAAAGCATTTATGGTATTTGTGTATTGTTACCGCTACGTATTTAATTAAAAGTTTAAAAAAATTCTTCTGTGTAAATATCTCATATTACAACGTGAACACCTGCAGCTTATAGACAAATGCGGCCTGTATATGTAGAAAACTTGTTTTCTGTTTAAAGTTCGTGAGTGCGGCTTATATTCAGGTAACAGTTTGGAATTTACGCTAAACAAACTGTTATCCTGTTTACAGTATATTTATGCATAATAAGACATCAGAACACAAATATAGAAGCAGACACATGAAAAAACACAGTGGCAGCTGTTGGGTAGTCGTCAAACTTACACACTACAACATGATCCATAAGTTTAATTATGCACCATCCATCATCTATACACCGCTTAATCCTCACTAGGGTCATGGGGGGCTGGAGTCTATCCCAGCTGACTTAGGGTGAAGGCAGGGGACACCCTGGACAGGTCACCAGTCTATCACAGGGCTACACTTAGAGACAGACAACCAAGCACACTCACATTCACACCTACGGACAATTTAGAATCACCAATTAACCTCAACATGTTTTTGGACCTTGTGGGAGGAAGTCGGAGAAGGATTCATGAATGACAATTACTTTTATCCACTGAATCCATTTGGATTACCACTGGCAGGCTTTTCGTGCTGCTTCGGGGATTGTTCTCTGTCACTGGAAAAGCCTGAAACAGCCACAGTTGATTGCTCAAAATCCATAACCAGCACCGCTTCTGTAGAATCTCAAATGACAGGTGGTTTGTTTAATGATGTACATAAAGGAACCTAAAAGGGAGTAAATATTTGTACATTTTCTGTTGAATATGTGTTTCCAGAATTACTGACACAGGAGTGCCCTCTGATTCTTATTTTAATTCTTTATTTGTCACCACAGTGAACATTATTTTTCTGTATTTGTCACTAATTCCCTTCGCATCGATTTGTTTCGTCTTCTTCTGTGTGATGTGATTCACGTCTTATTGATTTATGTCGGAACTGGTTTTGTGTTTTATTGTGTTTTGTAAATACTGAAGAAAGCAAATTTAAAAAAAACCTCAATAATAAAACTACATAAATCAATAAAATGTTTATAATGGATGGTGTGACCAACATAGTGATGATTGTGTTGTTCTTATAACCCAACGACAAGAATACTGAACCAATGGCAACATCACAAACACGTCTGATCCAAAGTGTCACCGTGATATAAATGTGCTGCAGCTTTCACCGAAGTCTGACTTGCAGGGATCAAATATCTTGAACCAATGTGTTGAACAAAGGAAGGACAGACAAACTTCAGGGTTAAACAATTAAATCACTTCAGACATCCGGATCAACAGTTTCCACTTCATGTAATAATTTCTCCTGGTCACACTGGGAATTAAAACATCCTTTGTTAACCTCTTAAACCCTAAAAGCTGCCATCATGTTTGAAAGTCATGCAAAAAAAGTCATGGCTGTGGCTCAGATAGCAGAGCGGTTGTCCTCTAAACCGCAAGGTTCGATCCCCCGCCCCTCCACAGTCGAAGGGCAAGACCCTGAATCCGAAGTTGCTCCCAGTGCCATTTGGTGTTGGTGTATGAATGTGTATCTACTCTCAGATGTATGTTGCTGTGGCTGAAAACGTCTGCTAAATGAAAATGTAAAACAAATCTAAATGACAGCATTTATCAGAGCCAGAAACTGCAAAAACAGAAAGAAAGTCATTGAACTAGTCACTAAATGTTTCAAATGTAAGCTTAAAACTGGGAGCTCTGTGCTCTTCAGCTGTGACTAATCGTCATGTGGCATAAATTCAGTCTTTTCAGATGATTCTGTTAAATATTTATTAATTTACATGTGTTGCACTTCAACTGTTTGTGGACTCTTGACATAAAGATATACCTTAATTAATGTAGACATTCTTTAGTCCATTTGCACAGAAACATTGTGGAGTTCTAGTTATTTTATTTTTATTTCTACTGTGTAGCTGACAAACGCAGAGTATTCTAGCTTCAGCTACATATTTGTCTGCAAGAAGGAGGGAGGATATGTAAAAGAAAGAAAAAAGAGAGAGGAAGAAAAAGAGAGGAAAAAAAGAGTCT